AAAAAAAAAAGCAAAAAGCAAAGTGAGAAGATTGGGAGCAAGCAGGAAATGAAGATATAGGACATGGAACAAAAATGGAAAGTTGGAGAAAAGACTTAGAACCATGACTTGTAATTGTGTTTTCCATCTGATCAGTGTTTTCATTCTTCTGTGCAAGAAATCCAGGACAACTGAAACACTATTAACCTAATTTTAATTTAGGTTTCTAATGGTGCTTTGCCAACTGATTACAAATTGTTACATATCTTACATAATCTTCCTACTTTATAGGCTACTGTGATGTCTTAACTGTGCTCAATCTGCCGTCTGTGACAAATCTAGAAGGGCAAGTTTTGTCTTTCTTAGATTTTTTCTATAAGGACTGGCCCACTATTGTTAACTATTTATTTCAGACAGCAACCACTACAATAAACTGCTAATGAAAAAGTACTTACTTTTGTGGGAATTCCATCTCTTTCTGCTTTTTTAAGTCCTTCTGCATCGGCCTTATTAGAAATAACAACTACTATTTCTGCAGAGCTGTTTGGCTTCTTTGCACTGGCAATCAGAGCTTCCATATTAGTACCTGACAAATAAGCAAATAAAACAAACTTAAGCCAAAACCTTAATTTACCTAAGAATAAACTACATTGAATGATGTTTCCTGTTAGGCTATCTTTCTGCAGATGATTGCACTAATAACAATGTAATTAACAATGTAATTAAGTATTTTAGCCAAGTGGTAATTTGAGTTCTCATAAAAGGTAAAGCTTCCTTTGTAAAAAAAATAAAAATAACTCCAATCAATCCAAAATCAACAATAATGTTAAAATATGAACATTAGCCACAACTAAAAATGCATTCTCATTTTAACATATTTTACTTTAACCAGATAGTGTATTTTTATAATTTTATACTCAATTTAAAAAAATAATTGAATAAAATATAAAAGTTATTTTAATAAGATAAAATTTAAAATAAAATCTTATCATTTACACTTGTAAAAGGCCAAAACTTTCTACTATAGCATTCATATGTTTTGCAGTGTCAGCAGTACTCCAAAAAACAGCTACAGGCATTAGAGAAAACACCTTTTAAATATATGACTTTTTCTAAACTTTGAACTTGGATGATATAATTCATGGGTCAAGGTGTATAGATTTTTAAAAATTCAATTAATCAATTAATCAAATGGAACTCTACCCCAAATTTAAAATATGTATATTGTGCTCTATTCTCTTAGCATAGGAACACATCTAAAACATATTTACTTTCCAGTTCTTTAATAACCCCTCTCACAAAACTGCATATAGAAATTATAGTTTAATAAGTAAACTAATACTATGTAATTTATTAAAGGAGAGACACAGATGATTAAACAGAGAAAGAAAGGCGGACTCAAAGACTTGATCTATCCATGATGATCAAATCAATACAGAATCAGAAGATACTTTTCCTGTCAATGTTGACCAATCTATTTTAAACTTGTCTGTCAGAAAACCATAGTCAATGAAAGAAAAGATGCTAAAAGTTTCCTTGAATTTCTTACAGTGGGAAATACAGGACCTTACCTGTTCCAGAGATGAGGACACCAACTTTTGTTTTGCATGGCTTCAGTTTTATTTGTTTGCTGTGCAAGGACTGCAAACTATTTGCTTGTAAGGCTTGGAGCAAGTTTTTGACTTCAACACGAACAGAACCTTTATATTAAAAATTAAACATTAACTGAAAATAATTCAGATTACAGCACAAGAGCCAATTTCCTATTAAATTATAAGAAAGATCCAAGATACGCTGAAAAGGGTAGTTTTAATTTAAACATCTGGAAAGGGTCCTAAAAGTCCTAAAGTAGGTTCAAAATAATGATGGAATTTAAGATATTGCTATATATCTATGCCTATCTATATATATTGCATTTAACAGTTATAGAAATCAGGACTTCTATATTGATATATGTAATCCTCAGAAAATTGAGGTTGAACATAATGACCTGCTTGGTGATGCACAACTTTCCCAATCAACCATGCCTCTTCATGTCTCCGAATGTCACTTAGGACTTTCCCAGCCAGCTCCTTCTGTACAATGAGGATTGCGCCAATGCCACAATTAAATGTTCGTGCCATTTCTTCCTCTGATAGATTTCCTTTCCTCTGAAGCCAGGAAAAGATGCTGGGCATCTTCCAATGCAAGGCATCTGAAAATAGTCAGAATGTTTATCTTAATAATTCCTTAATAATTCCTTGTGTGTCCAATCACACTTGGCCAATATTCTATTCTATTCTATTCTATTCTATTCTATTCTATTCTATTCTA